TATATAAACTGCATCTTTATTGTTGTTTTTATACTACTTTGAGTTGAGTATCCATAAGTTGAGGTTAAGTTGAGTAGAGTCGAGGTGAGTATATTTCCTTCTTTTCAAGTTCAAGCTTTTATGTTATGTTCAGTATTCCCCTTACATGCTCTTATATTCAATGTATTGATGTCAATTGGCCTGCATCTTTCTATGATGCAAATACAGGTAATCAGGATTATCAATCGGCACTCCGTTGATCAATTCGAGTTCCAACTAGATTTGGTGAGCCTCCTTGCTTTCCAGAGGGTTTCACATTGAGTTTACATTTCAGTTTTTGCTTATTAGGATATCGTGGGTCTTGTCCCGACATCCATCTCAGTTAGTAGACGCTTCATAGATAGTAAAGTTTACAGAAGTCTGTTTATTTTCATTTGTTAATGTTCTAGACTTGAGTTGTCTCCTTTGGCCAGTGAATGTTTTAATACATTTATGAGTGATCTATTTTAAGACTATGAGTAAAATTTCTACTTTTGAGTTTATCTATTATTGAGAAAGTCTTCCGCTGAGAGTTGAACCAGACCAAAGGTTCACTTGGGGCCAACAATGGTTCTTGAGTGTCTGTCGCGTCCAGGGTGTAGGCTCGGGATGTGAGAACTTTCCACTGTATCGACAAGTTTGAATCTCTAAATTTATATGTTAAACCTTTCATTACCAAAACTCTCAATGATAATTATCATTCCCAATTTTCGCTAATAATCTTACTATGATTGGAACAAAATTAATATCTCGTGAGTTAAAATTACTAGTGAAACTAGTAGCCAAATGCATTTTAACTAACATTTTTATATGATTAGTAGGATTTAATATTTCAAAATATATATAGAGAGAATTTTATTGGATTGGTACCAGATACTCGATATTCAAAATAGAAAATCTTTGAAATTATCATATTATTTTAGTTCATAATTTTCATACTAGAGTCTTGAGATCAATGATCCTGCAACTAAAATTAGTTTCTTGTCTTTTTTTAAAAGATATTCTTTTTTTTTAGGAATTTTATGAATATATTCTCTTAATTTTACTTTTCATTATTTATGGTATGTATTCTAGAAATTCTTTTTAATTACATAATTTTAATTCTTCTCGTAAAGTGACAAGTTCATGTAGACCATGTAAACATCACATGATCTGGATAGTTGCATCTCCAAGATGGTCACATATGTGCTTATTATCAACTCGCAATATGAATTTACAAGGTTGTTGGCCCAAATAGTAATGTTAAGAGTACAATTTCCAGATTATGCAATACAAACAATTCATCTTGATAATCCTGGTGAGTTTACATCACATGCCTTTACTGATTATTGTTTGACCACTAGATAACAATTGAACATATGGTTGCTCACGCTCACACTCAAAATAGTCTAGCAGAATCTTTGATTAAGCACCTCGAATTGATAGCTAGACCATTGCTAATAAGGACAAAATTGTTTGTTTCAATATGGGGAATGCTATTTTGTATTCATGTTTATAGGGTTCCAGATGAGTTTCGAGGATCAAAAGAATATTTAAAGCTTGTTTGTGCACACTTTTAGCGACGAACAAATAGAACTTTAGCGACGGAAAATGGGTTTTAGCGAAAAAATTACTGAGTTAAATATATATATATTCGAACCTATTTCGTATTTTTAACATTTTGGTAGCTAAAAAGGTTGATTTGGGGTGATTTTTTATATGTTTTTCTTTCATAATCATTGGGTACGCTATTTCTATTTCACTCTTTCCCTAGAAATAGCCCTTTCATAGTACATAATTTCTATCCACAAAATAGAGATTTTAAACCCCAAAGTAGAGAAATAAAAATTTATTAATTTAAAGGTCGATATGGAATGGGTTTTCATTGATTTTCAGGATTTAAGGTCCATGTATTGTGGGTAAACTGATTTTGACAAAGCTTTCCCAAAATTTCTCATTTTTAACCGCATTTCAAATATGGGGAGGTTTTCTCCCAAAGTTGGACAAGTAATAAATTCTAGATTTGGAGCTCAATTATTGTTTGTTTTCAATGGGTTTTTCAAACACGGACTCCTCTTGACTTGTAGAATTTGATTTTCAACTAAAATATAATTTTAACCTTTTGATTTTCGAAGTGATTTTTAGATTATTTTTCCTCCAATTTCCAATCCTATCAATATGGGTATCATTGAGCTTCTTTTGATGAACTCTATCCATTCTTGATAGTTGAGGATCATGTCGGTGATCGTGTGGCTAAGGAAGTACTTAGAGTTGTTCAAGTGAAGTTTCGACCTTCGAGGTAGGTCTGGCTATCCCTCTTTTAGACTGAGATGAGTAAGTGATCTTTGTTAGGGAGTCAACTGTTAAATGAGTTGTAGTATGTGTTTTAGAGGTTGTTAAGTGTTGGCATTCTTGTTTAGTCTGTGTGATGTATATTTGTGATGTTTACCCTGTGTGGAGGCTCGGGTGAAATTGGTAATTATTACTGAAAATTTGTGATATGTGAGTATTTACTCAAGCGAGAGGTTGTGTGGCTTATCCTTATATTTGACAATGAGATACCCGAGTTAGGGAACTGAGTATATTTTTGAAACATCTTAAAAATGAAAGAAATGTTTTTCTAAGTGGTAGAGACTAATTTTAAATGGATTTCTCCACTATCCCTATCATTTGAAGCGTGTTTCATAAAGTGTTAAGTTTGGGAACTTTATGTTATTCAAAATCTTTAATGAATTGATTATGACTTTGTGTTAATGCATTATGTTGCATTCATCCTCATTCAGCACTCTATCGTTGATGTGAATATGAAAAAGTGGAGAAAATACTATTTTTGAGAAAGAAAATGTGATACCTTACTTATATTCTTAACCACATTGAGGTGGCAAGTTAATGAGATATTGAGATTGGTAGATAGACTATGAGTCCCCCATGGGTCCTTTTCTAGAATTTAGAGGCTCGAGAAGATGTATACTAAAGGTTTTACGACGACCTTGGTGCAACTACATAATCTCATGTGATGATTTAATTATTATTTGAACTCTAAGTGTTTACTTTATTGGCGTCATTCTATATAAATTAATGGCACTGTTGCCAGAATGGAACTTTTCTGTGGGCAAGTAGAAGCGTTTAATAGTTATTTCTTCAATCTGATTAGTTGTTATTGATATGGCGTGAGTTTACGGTATTTTTGATACGTTTCACTTAGAATTTGCGTGCGTCTTGAGCTATTTTGTTATTAGGAATAATGTTTTGTGTAATTTTTGCAGGAAATAGACTTGGATGTGGTTGATGAAGATGCGAGCTGAAAAGTGCAGAAGTAGCCACCAACGTAGCCACCCACGGATCGTAGGCCATTCGATGGACCGTGGATGGGCAGTCGTAGGTCTTGGTTTGGGGGTTGAAGTTCCAGTAGTCAGTCCACATAATGGCAAGACAGACCGTAGGTGGAACATTAGGGAAGTCTAACCAAGGGTGAACCCACGGAGCAGACGACGGACCGTAGGTCGACCCACGATCCGTCATGCACGTCCGTCAATGATAATCTAAGAGTTGAAGGTTCCAATACATGATGAAAGTTTCTAAGTGTTGAACCACGGAGGGTGACCTAAGGATCGTAGGTCGACCCACGGTTCGTAAGTCGTGCCGTCAACAGAAGTCGCGTTCCAGCAGCTTATTTCTTTATTTTGTTTCCTATTTTATTTAGGACTTGTTTTCTATAAATAGGAGTTGTAAACCTCATTTTTGGGGGTTAGACATTACTGCAAACTCTTCGTTCTTGGTCTTTGGGAAATAATTTGCAAACTCTTTGCAATTAACTTTTCGAAATTCATTTTATACAATTTTCTCTTTAAATTTCAATTGAGGATTTCGGGTTTCATCAATTCTTCTTGTAAGTTCATGAATTCTTTTTACCCAATTATGAATTGTGATCTTTCAAGCAAGAGTAGCTAAATCCACAACAAGGGTTGTGGGAACCATGAGCAATTAACAAAGTATGAATAATAATTAGATAATTCTTGAATAGTGTTTATCCATGTATTGTTGTATTGTTAATCATTTCGTTTAGAAGTCTTTTTAATGAGTGCACGCGTTAGAACTCGCCTCATTCCTACTTGCCGGACAAAGAAGGTAATGAACGAGAAAAGGATTAAACAACAGAGATTTAGGATGCTATCTAATAGTCTAATGTCAATTGGAGTGAGAGTGAAAACTAAGCCATACATTATTGTGATGGCTAATCTGAGGTAAAGGTAAAGGTTAGTAAAGTATACACCCGTAGCCGGACCAAGGTGCGTGGTGAAATTCCCTATTTTGAGGACCAATCACTTAGGGATACCCAACTTACCAACTTTGCATGTTAAACACTAGGAAAGGATTACTATTATTAGGATTCCTGCGTTAAAAGCTTATGGGGAACACATATACCCTAGTTTCTCTCTCTTATTGATAACTCAAAGTTTGAATCTTGTCTACTTGTTACTTAAGCTTTCAAATATGTTACTTACTTACTCCCCTCCCCCCCCCCCACTTTGTTTACTTTTCTGGGAAAGAGTTTGACTAAATGGATATAATAGTGAGTTAAGTTTAAGTCTGAACCATATTCCTCGTGGGATTGACCCTAACCTACAAGTTGGGCTCTTTATTTGACAACAATTGCGTGTACATCTTTAATAGATGTGTAATTTAAGCGTTTCAAATTTTGGTGCCGCTGCTAGGGAATTTGGCTTTTAGATTAAGTTTAACTACATTATTGAACTTTAGTCAATTATTTCCTGATTTTACATTTTTTTTTTCTTTTGTTTTTGTTTTCTACATGTTTCTACTCTAATGTATGCCAAGTACACAGAGTCAAGGCGAACCGTTGACCCCCTATGATCCATAATTGAATAAGACTTTAAGGATAATGAATAAATAGGGGGTACTAAACAATCCAATCGAAGAGGGTCTAGGTGATGGAGTTGCATTGCAGCCTCTTGGGGTTGTTAATGTGAACGCTCAGGGACATGGTGGTAATTTACTCGGAGATGCAGAATCAGTCAGCACCGAGGCTTCCTGATAACTACTGGGTTGACTACAATACAGTTGAATATGAATGGCCTATAGTTCTACCTCCAGGGCATACATTCGTGGTAACCAGCAATTTGATGCAAATGCTTACAACACGAGGGTTGTTTTCTGGTCTAGCTTCGGAAGATCTGCATGCTCACATGGCTAAATGGAAAATTGTCTGTAAGAGTTATATGGGGCGACCGAAATTGGATATGGATTTTATAGGGTTGAGAGTCTTCCCTATGTCATTGACTAGAGATGTTGTAGTGTGGTTTTCAGAGCATATATTTAATTCGATTCAAACATGGGACCAATTGCACAAGGTTTTCATAGCGAAGTATTTTCCGGTGTCTAAGAAGCTAAATCGCAAGGATAAATTAAACAATTTTGTAGCACTACCTGGAGAGTCTGTAAGCAGTTCATGGGATAGGCTCAGTGCATTCATAAGAAGTGTTCTAAATCACCGCATAGATGATGAGTCATTGAAGGAGTACTTCTACAGAGGTCAGGATGACAATGCGAAGGTTGTGCTTGATACTATTGCGGGAGGATCATATGGTGAGTGCACTTTTAAGGATATCACTGAAAAACTAGAGAAGACTTCCCAAAACAATAAGGCATAGAGCACTCGAAAGGCTAATACTGGAAGGAACACATATGCAGTCCAAACTGCACCTAGTCAGTTTAATGATGATATGAGTGAAGATATTGCTCAAATAAGAACAGAACTGGGCTTGGTATTGAAGCATGTGAGTGAAAGTGCAGAAAAGGTAAATATAGTAAACTATTTAACAAGAACTCCACCACCACCAGTTGAGGAATGTTACTATGGGGAGGATACATATTTGGTTAATTATCAGACGGGGAGTTTCCAAACCAACACCCAAGGTTCCAACTCGAATAATTGGTGCCAAGGTCAAGAAAACCAAGGTTGAAACTATGGCAACTACAACCGCGAAGGAAACTATGTTCGGGATGGGAACTTCAATCGTGATAACAACTACAATAGAAACAACTATGGCAATAGGAACGATCGAGTTGGGCCATATGTTCCACCTGGTAAAGAATCTGGTAATAGAGAGGATGGTAGTAGTATGACTCGCATTGAGGATACGATGCAGAAGATGATGAAGAGGTTTGATGCGACTGATGAAAATGTGAAAGAGATGCGAACTGAGTTGTTCGGGATTGGTCAAAAAGTTGATGCTTATGCAGTGTCGATCAAGCAACTTGAGCAGCAGTTTAGTCAGTTGTCCGCTACTGTGAATCCACGCCAACCTGGCACACTTCCTATCAACACCGTCCAAAATCCATAAAATGATAGGTATTGTATAGCAATCATTACTCGCGGAGTAAAACAGGCTATTGACCCCCCATGCCATCTGAGGTTGAAAAAGTGGTAGAAAAAGATGCAGATGATATTGAGGTGACTGGAGAGTCGAAAGATGCTACATAAAAAAGAGGTTGAGTTAACCCAGAAAGTTGTCCCCATGCCTAGAACTCCACCTCCCTTCCCACAGAGGTTAGTGCAAAATACTGAAAAAGGAAAATATCGCAAATTCATAACTATGTTGAAACAAATTTCCATCATGTCTCGTTGATAGAAGCTTTGGAGCAAATGTCTGGGTATGCAAAGTTCATGAAGGACTAGGTGACCAAAAAGAGGGCCGTCAGTTTTGAGAATGATGAGAGGTTGCAGCATTGTAGTACAATTTCAATGAGGTCACTACTGCAAAAGAAAGAGGATCCTGGAGATTTTACTATTCCTTGCCCATCGATAAGATGCACTTTGTAAAGGCTTTGTGTGATTTAGGTGCCAACATTAATTTGATGTCATTATCGATTTATAAGAAGTTAGGTTTAGGGGCTCCAAAACCGATTGCGATGCGTTTACTTATGACTGCTAGAACTATGAAGAGGCCCATTGGAGAGCTCCAAAGATGTCCTTGTGAACGTAGGGTCGTTCATTTTTTCGGCGGACTTTGTGATACTTGATTGTGAGGTTGACTTTGAGGTTCCCATCATCCTAGGGAGACCATTTCTTGCTACTAGGCATGCCTTGGTCGACATGGAGAAAGGGCAGATGAAGTTCTAACTAAATAAGGAGGAGGTGACTTTTAACATATGTAGGTCTCTGAAGCAGGAAAGTGATCTTAAGTCGGTAGCGGTGGTAAATCATATATTGGAACAAGATTTCAAAGTATTTATTAAGGAGAAGTTAGGTGTTGGTGACATGGACGAGCTTGATAAATTTCACCTAAAAGCATATGGTAATTCAGCCTTGTGCAAGGAGGAAAAGCACCATGATCAAAAGACTGAAAAGTGCAAATTTTCTCCTGGTGATCTGGTATTGTTATTTAACTTAAGGATGTGCTGGTTTCTGGTAGATTCAAGTCCAAGTGGACAGGACCATTCAGATTGACCAAAGTGTTCCCAAATGGAGTGGTTGAGCTCAAGAAAAGGAAAGGGACGAGGTTCAAAGCCGACCGACAGAGGATAAACAGCTACATGGGAAATTCAAAGAAAATCAATGCAGTGATAGAGGCTTGGCACCTTGATGAAGTCTGAGTACTTAAGGTGTCTGCGTCGTGCCACGATATTAAATCAAGCGTTGCTTGGGAGGCAACCCAAGATGTACAATATAGCCAACTATAGGAGTTTCTTTTCCATGTAGGAGTATTCTTCTTTCTTTTTTATTGTTGTAGCTCTTTAGATATCTGTTTATTTTTATGTTTTAGTGTTGGCTAGATATAAAATATGGTCTGTATCTAAAAAGTGTTCAGAAAATGTAAAAATAAAGTCCTGATGGTTGCTACGTGTGCAAGGACGAAAAGGCAAAATCTACAGAAAATAGTTGTGTACTGGTCTACGGGCCCCATTGATAGTCTGTTGGTCAAGTCATGGACCGTGGATGGCATCCGTAGATCCCATGTAAGTTTTCTATTTTTTTCTAAGTGTCAGCATGCCTTACAACCCTATCAGTGGACTGTAGGTCGACCCACAGACCGTCGATGGGGTCTCTTGGGTTCAGACTAGGGTTTATGTCCGACCCGACCCGGACCCCAACATAATAAAACCCCTTACTTTCAAAACATTTCCCACTTCCATATTTTTTCCCCAACCGTTTTTAACCTTTCATATACCAATTTTTCATCATTTAATAACCCACCAAATCATCCCTCACTGACCTACAACCAAATTCTAAATCCCATATCTCCCATATTCTTTCCCTAATCACTTCCATTTTCTTCCCCAATGATTCCAAGGTCCGAGTTTGGTGTCGAAGGCTAGAAAAGGTTCAAGGATTTTCATTGCACTAACACACTCACCAACTACAATTAGTACTTGCAAGGTAAACGATTTCACCCTAACTTTGAATTCATTGTTCATTGTTTAAATCATGAAATCACAAAGTTGAACTTGACCTTGGGTTGTTAATCTCCTATTTGAATGTTAAATATAGTCTAGAAACACCCTTGGAATGATGGTGTGTGAGTGTGTAAGTAAATTCAACCAACTCTGTAGGTTGTTAAGTCTAATCGGAAGTTTTAACTTAGCGTTTCATTGTTTTGGTTGTGTTAAGACTTAAACTGTATGTAAATTCGAACCCTAAGGATGATAAACTACCGAATAATATGTTAAAATGCATGTTTAGACTTAAATTGAGTCATTACTTGATGAAATTATGCATTGACTAAAAGTTGAGGATAACCTGGCACAGAACTGACCCACGACTTCAACCCACGGATCGTAGGACAAGCTCTGTGGACCAGTGGCACACACAAAATTGCTTAAGTGTAGAACCACGGTGTGGACTACGGTTCTGCACATCTATGGTTCCCAAATTAGAGACCCAACTTAGGGTACTCTGACTTACGGAGGGGACCACGGGTTGTCGTTCCATCGACGGACTATAGGTACCCACAGTGGGTCACAAGTTTAGCTACTATCTGAAATTTTTTTGAGTTTTCTTCTAGGTCTGAATCTTATTCTAAAATTATTTCATGAGTCTTCTTACCTTGTTTGGGTACTAACTAGTCTTCCACAGGTACCATGGCTCCTAAACAAGCACCGAAATACTCTACAAAAGGCAAGTCTAAATGTGTCGCTCCTTCCCGTTACATGGTCGTGCAATCCAGTGATGATGAGTACATTCCAAAGACTACCAAGGGTTCCCACACTGCACCACGAACCACTAGGAGACAGTCCCAGAATATAGTTTCCACAATTGATGAGGTAACCACCCCATAGTCTGAGAAAGGGGCCACACAGGTCGAAAAGTCACAGTCTGGCTTAGAGTCGCAGTCAAGCTCCAGTTCTAGCGGCAGTGTCGTTTCATCTTTCGATGTTGATAGCACAGGGAATATCCCAGTACCCTCAAGTTCACAGTCGGCACCTATTGCTACGGAGCCGAATAGATGGTGCGTGGAGTGCCAATACCAAATATACTCTGATGCCTGCATGTTAAATGAGCATCAGAAGATGGCCAGGCACATTACAGAGTAGCTTCAAGTTCTTACATGCAGCCTCCACACTGCACCAGCTATTGAGGAACTCTTCAGGAGGCACAGATATGAGTGGCTGGCATGAAGCCCCGAGACCTACAGTGAGGAGATAACCAAAGGGATCTATGCCTCTTATGATGCCACCGTCCGAAATTCCATCTCTAAATGGGCCAAGCCTGCACCTCAACCTCCACTTCAGTCTACTTTGGTGCAGGGTTCCCAGTTGACATCTCAGAGGCAACCATTCACCGGTTTATATATGGACCAGCCCACACTCTGCCCATTAATACGGAAGACTATGTCTATAATATGGGCATTATGTAGAGATGGTCTTTCCAGAGAGATATTGATCAGAGGGTGACACTTTTGAGGTGGCAGACACGTCATATTGATGTGGATGGGGAGCGCACTAAGTGGATACGAACTCCTACTATGGTTATTAAGAAGGCGACTCTGAGCCTTGTTGTGAAGTTCTTCTGGTTATTGGTTCGGACTCGATTGTCCCCTACTCAGGCAGACAATGAGGTTACATGGGACCGGGTCTTGTTGCTGGCAGCCATTATGGCAAGGTTGGAGATTGATTTTTCCCACATCTTAATTTTGGAGATCCACGAGAGGGTTTTCAAAACCACCACCACTCTTAATTTCCCGTGTTTGATATTCCATCTCTGCAGGGAGTCTTCTGTACCTATCTGGCACTTTGATAGGTTTCTCAAGGTGAACAGGACTATAGATATCAGCTTCATTTGGGATGATATCAACCTTATTGCACCACGAATGGAGCCACAAGTTGGCGTACCGCCTTTGGGTCCACTACTCCAGCCCCTAATGATTCACAGGCCCCACCCTCTACTGCCACTAGTCAGGCCCCGATCTCCTCCCGAGCCACCCCTATTTAGGCTCCACTGTCATTCCTCTACCCGAGTCCAGAAGCTGGAGACACAGATGGCCACTTTGCTTCAGCATATGAAGCCATGGATGCAGTGTTCTATTGCGGATCTGAGGCGAGGATGGAGCAGATGATGGATTGGAAGATTCAGGTCGTTCATAAGCATCTAGATGCTTTCAAGTTGAGACTCCTAGAGAGGCCCGCCCCTACCATATGTGACCGCGTTCCAAACAGAGTTGTCTAGCCTTCATGCTAATGTTGCTGCCCTGCTATGCCTTGCTGAGGAGGTACCAGAGTTTACACCTGCAGTACCGGAGGATGAGGTGGTGATGAATTCTCTATTTGGCGATATTGTGGTACCACCAGACTCTTCCCATGCTGCTGGGAAGCTCCCCCGCTCCGACCATACTTTCAAAACTGTAGAGGCTCGATGTTTGAAGAAGAAGGAGCACCAGCAATTGGAGGTAACTAAGAGGCAGTTTATACTAGATGGGGAGAGGTGACAGCAGCGAACCCGTGAGGTGGATGTTAGCCAATCTGGGTAGATTTGAGGCAAAGGCCTCACATGTAGTGATCACATGTACTGCCCCAGTCATTCATCATCCTACTACAATATTATTTGATTCCAGGTCGACATATTCTTATGTGTCTACTTATTTTTTTGTGGGTATTAATGATGTGTGTGAGTTTTTTCTATGCATATTAGTGTCCTTACCCCGATAGGTGACTCCTTAATGGTGGATTGAGTGTACCGGGGGTGTAGTTTTTTTTTATACTTAGACTCAGACAGACCTGATTTTACATGATATGCTTGATTTTGATGTGATATTAGGTAAGGATTAGTTATCTCCATATTATATGATCTTAGATTGTTATATAAAGATCGTGACCTTAGTTTACCTCGATATATGTGAAAAGGTGC